TTTTCAAATCTGTCAATTATTTAGTTACTACTTTACCAGTAATGTTTATTTCAACTTCCTTATGAACACTTAGTAAACAAAACGAAGTAAGGCGATCCTCCATCAGTCTAAAGCGTAGCCAGGTTTTTATGCATCAAGGTAGATAAACTTTGTTCTGYAGTAGCTACACTTATTGGAAACGTAAAAACTACATTTAGAAGCTGGTATACGGTATACTGTATGAAATATACATACAATATTGTAATATTATCTGTCCACCATGAACCAAGATAGTACTATCTTAGTTTGTGTACCCCAGAATGATACGTACAATAATATATTATACTATCTGAAATATGATGATACAAATATAAATATGTAAGTATGTGATTTGAAATATATAGTAATATCAGGATTTGTAGAATTTTAAAGGGACCCCCGGTTTTTGTACAGCTCTATAGTTTATTCGTTTATATGCTTGCTGGAAATATTTTTGATTTTACGTTGGATACCTTCAAAACTCGATAGTTCGATAGAAGTCTTCATTCCTGTCGAACTGGTATGCTGCAGCATTAATACGAAATTACGAAAGGCTATGTTTCGTGTAAAATACAATTATTCCTGTGATTTGTCACTTATCTTATAAAATTTGTTTTTGGCTTAGTTCAACTTCAAGGTATCTAGGTACTGTACATCCCAACGTCTATAACGGACTGAGTATGTACAATGTACTATACTACTATATAGTATACTCTGTACTGTATTATACTAATATAATAATATACTAATCGAAAAAAAAATTATAAATTATATCATTATTCATTATCATTAACATCAAATACTTATAATAAGTACTGTAAAAGGTCTCCACTCAGAATTTTTTTCCATATCTATAAGCAATTATTTATTTGACAAAATTTAATTTATCTTTAGTTAGTATCATTAGTATATAGGTTAGGTACTCATTGATAATGATGCATACTTGACACCTATATACTATTATTAATCAATGCAGGGCTAATTTTCAGGTTTTTTCGTTATTATTGATTTTAATTGTATTATTTTATTTTAAATAAAATATATTAGGTACACCGTTTCTGAAAATAAATGTAAGTTAGGGTTTTAATTTTTGCTATCTGTAAGCCAGTAAATAATAAAATACAAGTGTATGTAAAAATATATATATAGTAAGTTAGTAAATAGTAGGTATATTATATAACCACAGATGATAAATTACAGAAATACAGAATATTCAAATACATATTGATCATAGAATAGATACAAACTGCAGTTCATTATTATTGTTTTTTGGTACTTTGTTCGTGTATTGATGTATTACTAGTAAGGGCGGATCCAGACTTTGATAACGTGGGCAATCTATATTTTTTTTATATACGGAAATAGGGAAAGATTAAAAAAATACTGATATATAACTATATCCGTCACTGATTATTAGAAAATAATTATTTCCTTGCATATTTATTTAAAAAATAAAATAAAAGTATTCATATATGTGTGGAATCGCCAGTCGTGCGTTTTATAACCGTTGACGTGTCGTACATGGGTCACGTTCATGAGCTGTTTTTCCKAGTGTCAAAACTATGACGTCACAATTCATTTTCTGCGACTTTTTGAATTTTTTATAAGTCATAATATTGCACCTCTATACATCCTTTCATTAACTTCTGGTATACACCAACATCTTCATTTCAACCTTCGTTATACTCGAAACATGGACGTGCGTACGGGGGGGGGGGGGACAAGGCCCACCCTGCGAATCGTACTGTACATATTATATATATTGCGACCTTTTAAATTGTTCTCATGAAACTTAAATAATAAAATTACAAATTACAATTTTCAATGATAATAATTAATTAAATACATAGAAAAATTGAATTGATAAAATATCTTAAAGTATATCTCTAAGTATCTAAATCATAACTGGTTTGGCGTACGCTCATCCAACGTCCCTACAAAAAAGGTCTACGCATGCCTCAAGTCCTCGAAATATCAAAAGTTATGCCTCAGAAGTTCCTCATAAAGTGCAACTTTTCTATAAACTATAATATAATATTACCTATACATTAAGTTTTTAAATAATTGGGCCATTTTTACAAATTATTAATTATACATTTTATAATTATAATATATGCATAAAAACATATAATAATTATAAATTAATAACCTATTATCTATAAAAAAAACTCAACAATTTAAAAATATGGTCTTCATTATTACTATTTTTTAATAAATCTGTTTAATTTAGGTAAAATGTATTACCTAATACCTTATACACATTGGAGACTGGAGTAGGTATTAAGTATTTTATCATGACATATTATTTTCCTAAGGCTTAGTTAAAATGCAATGGCTCAACTGGACACCAGACTGACTGACCCCATTAATCCTGATGATCACCGAATGGCAAATTCATTCTTATTCGTAACTTTGGGAAGAAGTATTAATGTATCATTGTATTTAAAAGGGTAAACGGAAAAGGAAAATTACGTAAATAGACAGCCACTGCCTTCCGATCATCGTCGTCGCAACCTTGTAGGCCTAGGACACGAATAAATATATATTATTAAATAATCGTGAATGTTGTGATGCGCTTTTTGCACTCGGCGCTGAGTCATCGTATTCAGTAGCGGTCTATGGACGGCCGGCGAGGCGCGACGGGGGACAGACAGCTGCCCGCCATACGCGCCGCCCGCACACAACACCAGTGCCAGGGGTTATCAAACTACAGTGTCTATCGTTATTCGTTACCAACATCCTCCCGTCGAACATCGAATGGAGATGGACTAACGAATAAAATATGGTGATCATGAGCAGTGGTGGTGAGCACGACTAGCAGACTTGCTTCATGCTTGTGGCAATGTGGCCGCTGAGGGTTAAGCAGCATGGTGCACACACCGTCGATACTGTCGTTATAATAGTAATAATTATATAAACATTATCGTTTCACACAGTCACGCCATTATTGGGCAATTGTCACTTGATATTCCCTTAGCGTTTCCAATACATAATAACATGAATTATAAGGTCATCCTGGCATACTGCTCTAGGCCTGTTCATCTGCTGAACTACTTCGATTAGCAATCACAAATTATTTTCTCGTTTCGTTTTCCTTTTCCAACGTCCTAACGAGAGTTATCACTTATTTATCGGCCTGTTTAAGCGATGCAACATGCAAGCACGCAAAGTTGCRAACGCCAACAGCCAACCGATGGCAACACCGTCACGGCGTCACACCGACACAACGGCGTGTGCGGACTGCGGACGTGTGGCACTGTGGCTTGTTGACGACGACCAGCGTCGGAGCGTTCCGCCGTTCCGCCGGAGTAGGTATACCAGATTAGTGATTACCAGCTCGTCTCGCAAGTAGCGACCACTACTACCACTACCACTGTCAGCTCCCACCGCTTTGCCTTACCACCATGTGCTAACGCAGTAACACCGTGGTTTGCCGTCGTTATCGTCGTCGTCGTCGTCACTCGTCGCAACAGCAGCGCAGCGTTATTACTCACCCCGGGCAACAGCATTAAGTGAACAGATACCGCAAAGCCGACGAGAATCGATCGTGTGCACACCCGGACGACGGCGACCACCACAGCGAAGAACCGTTCCCAGGACTGAACAGAAGACACCGCTGGTAAACCGATTTTCCTTTAATTCTTTTTTTTTTCTAATTTCTCAAAACCGATWTTTTCCCCCATTATGTACACTCGTATTACAAAATATATTTTATTATTTAAATCGCGCGATGTATCACAATGCATCTCTCTCAAAAACCCGTGACGGTAATTTATTCGTTGTCGTCTACTTTTTTTTATTTTGGTCTTTCTGTTACTATTATTAGGTTTCGTTGTTATTGGGGTAATAACAACGAAACCTAATAAGCGGGGTGCTCGGAGCAGGTATTATTCCCCTTTTTCCGTCGCGATACGTAGACGTTATAAATATCCCACCGTCGTCGTTTATTTGTTTAGATTCAGGTCAACCGGTATAATATTAATACGCTCGACCAGACTACTTACTAACTGTTGTACCCATATAAGGCTGGTAAATTTTGTTTCCCGGTGCTTAGAGAACGTCTTCGACGTATATCAATTTTAATCGTCCTCGAGATTTCCCTATTAGAAATTTCTACCAGTCACCGCATATTAATAGATTAACTGTTTTAGAAGATTAGAACTATTCTCTTTCTAATACAACAAGTACAATATTATACACATCTGTAATTGTATGCATTTCTAATTTTGTGATACTCTAAACAATATTTATGACTCATGTAACCCAATCTCTTCCATTAATTGTTATTGATATAGATTATCTACCCAACAGTTAAATTTCTTTATTACATTATTTCTTATGAATGTTAACTTATATTCACAATTAATACCTACGTTTAAAACATCACATTTTTGGCACTTACCAATATAGTAGGTTTTGCTGAAACTGTATATGTTTGTGAGTCTTCTGTTTCTTTTTATTTTTGGCAAAGTAGCAAAACACTATTTGTTAGTATTTTAAAATGTTATTGACCTAATTCTATTTATTCGTAATGTATTTGGTATTCCTAATTGTTATTTTTATAATATTTTATGTCATTCCTAAATCATGAAGTTATGAATACTACTATTAAGTGTGATTACTGATAGATATTGACAAGTTACAAGCATTAAGTTTTTACAAAATACTTAATTAATTATTATTTATTTTAGGTACCTATATTGATATTTGATATTTGCCTTTTAAATTTCTCAAGATTTTTTAATTCAGTATTCTGCCTATTCTAACTTCTTTAAAATACCTATTTCTCGTTTATGTGTCTTACTGTAAATATTTAATTTAAGCTATTCATATTTTGTAAGCCCAATGGCCTATGCTGCCGAGGGCTCTTTCCTAATAAAAAAAAAAAAAATAAAAAAAATACCTATTTATAATTTATGTTGATTGTTAAACATTAACTTATATTATTATGGCAATATCTTAACTATTAAATTCCTTACATATATGTCATACCTAGTTTAAATCTCTTGGTTGAATTGTGGTTATATCAGTGAATTATTTTCCTCATATTTTATTGAGTATTAATTATTATTGTTTATGCTATTTTCACGTAAAATATTTTACATAAATTCAATAAAAAAGTATAAAATTAAATAATTTCATTTACTTTTTATCAAACAAATCATTTATATTTCAGGACAAAAGAAAAAAATTTTGCTACAGCAGCTCTACCTACAGCCAACCTACATTTATAGTATCCTACTGGTATGTACTTTTTCTTGGAATTAGTTTTCAGTTAAATTAATTATGATTGCATTGCATAGTAGTGACTCTTAATTCGTGTTTTATTTCATTTACAACATTTTACTAAAAAATATTAGGTATACATGTAAAATATTTAATAAGTATTTAAGACAGCCTATATTTTTGTTTTCATTGATTTGCTTAAAATAAGTAATACTGCTTTAGTACAAAATATTTATCTATATAGTGTTTTTTTCAATCCAATGACCTCATCCATGATGTCATATTCCCCCCAAGTCACGCTATGAGCATCTGGTCATGCTAAATTCCTCATGCCCTCCGTAATGACTAGTTAAATGACTATGAGACATCATCTAAATAATAAACGTTTGGTATATTGTTTTACAAAGTTTTTTTTTTAAATTTGTGATCTTAAATGTATTTTAAATAATCATAGGTACGTCTAAGAAATACATTTTTAAGATATAAATTAGTTAATTATTTTGATGTAACTACCAATAGTAACTACACTCAAATTTTAGAAACTTTCTAAGTTTAAAAATCAAAATTGTACTTTATTAATGTACAATTCATTCATAATTTTGTATTTGAGAGATGTTTTGGATATATGATTATTGTATGTATATTTTTATTGTATGTACTTCTTGGTAATTTTTTGACAGTAAGTTATTCTTTAAATATTTAAATTTATTTATACCTAATTTTGTATTGTTGTATTCAATTAATCTTTTATCGGAYAATTACTTATATCAAAAATGTTAATGCATTTTATTCTAGTTAGTTCCCAAACCAATATATACATGTGTTAATTATTAATTGTAATTTTAATGGATTTTAGTGAATTCCTAGCATACATTTTTCCTTTTACAAATAATATACTTATTACCTACTAAKCTGATTCTTGAAATTCAATGTCAAAGGTATAAAATATTTGTTTTATGACTGATTTCAATTTAACATATTTTAAACTTATTTCAATTGGGTTTGTTCTGGATACATTTTTAATTTGGTGTCAATACCCAAAGTTATCTCTTGTATTTGTAAATTTGGTGTCTGAGTATGAAATATATACATAGATAGGTGTAAAACATTATGTTAGTAGTATCAAAATTAACAACTTTTCTATCCATTAAATTACATTTCTTACAAGAATTATAAATTTAAGGTATTCAATAATTTATTTAATATAGGGTGTCCCGTGAGGTTATTTTTTAACCCATTGCGATATCTTTCAAAATAATGGCGATAACGAAATTCTGGTTTTGTAATAAGACTCACAGGGGTAAGAACTATAATTATTTCATATTTTAATATTTTGGTAAAAWAGTTAGAAAATATATTTTTTTATTTAATTTTTTCCAAAAATATTGACCATACCAATTTTGTTGTTTATTTTTCTGAAAATATTGACGTTTCAAAATTTTATTTTTATTAATTTCCTAATTTTTAGTTTCGAGAAAAATTACGAATCATTTAACACTGTAATGTTATCAAATATGTGACCTACACCACGCTCATTCCCATACGGCCGGCCRAATACTTTCCGTGTTTCTAATAGTTATAATCATATTTTATTTGTTCAAAACTAGAAAAAAATATTAAAAATCAGGAAATTAATAAAAATAAAATTTTGAAACGTCAATATTTTCAGAAAAATAAACAACAAAATTGCTATGGTCATTTTTTTTGGAAATAATTAAATAAAAAATATATTACATTTTTTACAAAAACATTAAAATAAATCAAAAAATGAAATAATTGTAGTTCTTATCCCCATAAATCTTATGATAAACCCAGAATTTTAATATCTCCATTATTTCATGAGATATCGCAATGGGTAAATCCTCATGAGGACTATATATTAATCTTAATAAGACTCTGAAAGTTCAAATTTTATCCACTATGTCTATGAAACCAATACTTAAACAAATATTTCTTTTTACTRAAGACAATACAAGTAAATCTTGAACTTTTTATCATAGATTAAGGAGAAATCATATTTTTGCTTATTAGTTTGATTGCAATTATGTAGGTCTTTTGTTGCTTTTAACTTGACATCTGCTTTTTGTTTTTGTTTTGACCTATCTACTTCATTTAAATCTAACCTTACCTAACTTAATTGTATAGAATTTTAAAGACTAACTTAAATTAAGTTTCTGGGATAAAACATTTGTTATTATATTATTTTTATTTCATGTAGGATGTAGGTGTATGTTTATGCAGTTAAACTAATAGTAATATCTGTTGATTATAGTCTTTTATAATTTATAATCAATTATTTAATATTTACTTGTATTGAAATTCAGATAATTATATACAGGAAGTTTATAAATATTTGGRAAAAAGAACTTGTATTAATATTTGGATATTTTCTGTTATCTGCTACCCACATTTTTTCCCCAATATTTCTTCAATCTYGAGTCAGTACATTTTTTACCCTGTGATTCGAAGTGGTATCTATTGTATTATAAGTCTATATATGTTTTTGATTTGAGCTTTCAAAGTGAGCATCACCATGGGACTAAAAAAAAAAAAAATAGAATAGGGTAACCTATTTTATTAGACAAAAACTAGGACAGAAATTTTTTTTTATTGATTTTTTGATTATTCAATTATTTATTACATATATTACAATATTTTAAACTTTAAAATTTAAAGAACACATTATAAAATATAAAATTATTAATCCGTGTCTGATGTATTCTCCATCAGATTAGTCCGAGTTATGAGTTGAACTATTTAGCATATATATGTACAATAATATTTAGCATATTAGACTTCATTTGTAATATATAAATAAACTTCTGTATTTATTTAATTATAATATTTTTTTTTTTTTTAACATTTATTCTAATCTAGTTATTCATATCATCTTATATAACCCAATAAATAATACAATTAAATCTCAATTCAATTTATACTGTATAGAATATAGGTACCATTTTGTATATTATGGTATTTTTTATCATTTTTTTTGATAAGTAGGTAATAAAAAAATTATAATTGTAGATATTAATCAGTTAAATTTAAAGCTCAACTGGAACTGTATTAAATATTCACTTATTCATATAATAATATAGCTTTAAGGTGATACTAAATGTAGTTTTTCATTTTTGTTGATTAATTATTAACAATATAGATATTGAACTAATTTTTAGTTGTTTTGTGTTAGGATTTATTTAGAATTATTAGGTTAGTACTTTTTTGTTATTCATGTTGTCTTAATTTTAAAGTAATTTTGAAGACTTAAAAGTTACGTCAAAGTGGGTATAACCATTAATTGAGTTGTATTATTATTTCTTTTATACATTTAAACCCCCAATTATGTTATTATTTACTATGCACAATTTTGTATTATAAATGAGATGCCAAAATTATAAATGATTTTATTTTTACAGATATTTCAAGCATCCTTAAATAATTTGCTTCAAGGAAAATTATATCAAGTCATCAGCTTAGTTTAATTTACTAAGTTATATCTTCCTTTTTTCAAGACTTAATTTTAACGCACACTAAACACTACATCAAATATGTCTTCTTGGCAAGATTATGTTGACAAACACCTTATAGCATCTCGATGTGTTACTAAAGCAGCTATTTCAGGTCATGATGGATCTGTATGGGCCTCTTCAGATGGATTTAATGTTACCAAGGAAGAACTTAGTAAACTAATTGCTGGATTTGAAAACCAAAATGTTTTGGCTGCTTCAGGTGTAACGTTAGCTGGCAGTAGGTTCATTTATTTGTCTGGTACCGATAAAGTCATTAGAGCAAAGCTAGGTAAAGTGGGCGCACACTGTGTAAAGACCCAACAAGCCGTTGTTGTCTCATTATATGAAGACCCAATTCAACCACAACAAGCTGCCTCTGTTGTTGAAAAGCTTGGCGATCATTTGGTTGCCCATGGGTACTGAACATGAATTACAAAAATGGTTAATATGCTTCAAAAATGGAAGAAAAAAAAAATTCAAAATTCAGATTATCAAGAACAACTAAAAACTATAAGATATGGCATTTAATATATTACATTAAAATAACCAAATCTCAATTACACCCAATGAAATAAATGTTTATAATTTTGGGAGAAATATATTAGGTTTATATATTTATTTATTTTTATTTATTTTTTAATGGAATACCAAACAACTATTTCATTATCTTTTATTATATTTTATTTCTGATAAGATTTTGATCCGCTGCTTGGGAACTATAGATTTGTTTAACATAATTATTGTTGTTTACAAGTCTCAGATATTATTATTACTACCAAAGATATTAAACATATGGATGCAGCATTGACTATCTACACTGTGCATAGATCTTGAACTYCAACTTAGTTAGCTTCACGATTTTGGATCAATACTGCATTCATATGTTTGACATCTTTAATTACTACTTAATAAAATTATCTTCATTACCTTAAAATTGTTATACAAACTTAGTGAATACATTGAATATTGTCTMTAAATTATAATTTGATTATCAGCTATTGCTAATAGTCAAATGTATGATTTAATTTTACTATCGTCAGTTTTTTTTTAGACATCCTTGATTCATGTTTATATTTTTCTACTATTATATACAAATTTAATTTAAAAGAAAATCTTATTTTCTTTATTTTTAATGTTTTTGCTTTATACTTGTTATGATTTGCACTTTCTACTGTTTCATTTAGAAACAGTACCTAGTTAGATATTTATACAAAAATCCATGACTTGAACAAAAAAAAAATAGTATGTACCTAACAATTAAGTGTTTTGTAATTTGTTTAATATTTAATTGGCTGTGTGGTGTCTTTATTTATGTTTATTAATTATTTGTAAACATTTCTATAAGCAATAATAAACGTATAGCTTTTTATACCAATTTACGTTCCCGTGGCTACCAAATAAAATAATTATGAAATAAATATTGTATTGTATAATATATTGTCAAATATTTTTTTTATTATAACCAACCAATAAACAAATATTTATAGAACATTTTACACTTATAAATCTATTTTTTTTTTAAATTATAATTTACTCAATTATCCTTATAAGTTAATATCAAAAGTCATATTTCTACAAGTTAGACTGATTAAGTAGGTAATTTTATAGGCCATATTGGTGAACTTTAGAGTTTAGACCTGATGTTTATGGAAAAAGCTTATTATTGTGCAAACATAATATTAGATAAGAACATTGAACTCTTGTACTTGTTTTATCATCATTTTGTTTAGATATAATAACATTTATTTTTCTTTGAATAGAATTCTTACCAGACAATGTGAATATATAACTGTTTATTCTGTAGTCTATTGAATGCATTTGACCAACATAATAAGTAGGATCTAAAGAGTGGATAATGTGTTAATAGCCTAATGTTTCATTTATTTATCAGTTTACTTTTCAGGTGTATTGGTATTTTAATATAGGTAGAAATTAATATTAAATTGGTATGTATAGCGAGCTAAATATTCAAACTTAGATAAAATTATGATTTTTCTTTTTAGGTATATACCACATGTGATGAAAAAAGAAAATATGGATTAGTAATATACTGATATAATGAATTAAAGGAATACACATTGTGGTTATCAAGGATAAAATAGCTGAAGAAACTATCTTCTATATTCAATACATATACTGGAATAATCATTGTTCACGTACACCCTCATCCAGAATAGATATCATGAACACAATATAAATTATTAAATGTAATAATTTAAAAAAACGGTAGGAATCATATTATAGGTAGTAATTTAATTGTTAATGGTAATTATTTATTTATTTATTTAAGTAAGATGAGGCTGAATTGACCTACCAATTTATTAAAATAAAAGCTGTTGAAAATTGAGCTTTTGTTCCTAATCTATAAAGTATATTTTACATTTTAAATAATCATTAATTATTGAGTTTATTCCCATAATAGTTGTAGTAAAAGTCCAAAATCCACAGTGGCACTGAACTTTTTAATTGGTACATTTTTAGACTATAGTTTATGTATTTTTCTNTACCACATGTGATGAAAAAAGAAAATATGGATTAGTAATATACTGATATAATGAATTAAAGGAATACACATTGTGGTTATCAAGGATAAAATAGCTGAAGAAACTATCTTCTATATTCAATACATATACTGGAATAATCATTGTTCACGTACACCCTCATCCAGAATAGATATCATGAACACAATATAAATTATTAAATGTAATAATTTAAAAAAACGGTAGGAATCATATTATAGGTAGTAATTTAATTGTTAATGGTAATTATTTATTTATTTATTTAAGTAAGATGAGGCTGAATTGACCTACCAATTTATTAAAATAAAAGCTGTTGAAAATTGAGCTTTTGTTCCTAATCTATAAAGTATATTTTACATTTTAAATAATCATTAATTATTGAGTTTATTCCCATAATAGTTGTAGTAAAAGTCCAAAATCCACAGTGGCACTGAACTTTTTAATTGGTACATTTTTAGACTATAGTTTATGTATTTTTCTATTCTCTGCTGTATATTATGAATTATTAGTTACTTAAATTGTAAAAAATGTATGCCCTTGGATGTTATTTATGTTTTACCTTCATATTTACTACAACTGAATATTGACATTTTTATGTTTTTGAAACAACTATTTCTGACCTTGGAATTTAATATAACAAAATCAACTATATAATATATTATACATTATACATATTTTATAGCTCATATGCATAATATATTAAGCTCAGTTTTCACTGATAACAATATACAAATTGCCTTTGTGTGATTAACTCGACAATTTTTCAAAACCTATTATTTTAATGTACAACAGGTTATCTTCAAAAGATATGAAATAGGCRATTACCACTACAACTACGATGACATAATTTCTACTTATGTTGGTTATTTCTTAAGATTTAAGTTGTTTTGTAYGAAATATGAATATTAAGAAAATAATATGAATGGGTTTGGGGCAGGACCTATTATTGTAAAATTTCAGACTACACACTTAATTTTACTGCTTTAAACCAAAATGTTATGCACTAATATCTTATAAAAATCAATKAATTACATATATAATGTATATATATAAATTTAAGTATAATAATTTAACAATGTAATCAAATCAAGCAACAAAATTCAGGAAAACCTTATATTTTCTAGTAGCTGGCATATTATTATGTAATTTTTGTTTTGTAGACCGTAGTTCACACTTGTACATTCGTGGTGCACATAAAAATAGGGCCTGGGCCTTTGAGAGTTTGACGTGGTACTGGTTATGTAGTTTTATTGTAGGTAATCATAATATGTATCACATTAATTAAATGCGGTATAAATGTTCACCGTCATAATAAATGTATTTGATTGTTATATTTTTAAATTACTACTAATCTAACATTACTTAATATTTTAATATTTATTAACGATTTTCATTTAAAGTAAGCTCGTAGATTTTAGATTCTGAGCGGAGCGAGGAATGTATTGATTTTACCATGATGTGCGTGTGTTTTTTTTGTGTCTGTCATCACGACCATCACGTTTTGGGCAGAACATAAATGATTAAAATTCATAAATTAAAATACTTTACGAAGTGAATCTAGTTGGTACTTTAGGGGGTCAAA